ATCGCAGCTCAATGGGTAACCACTAAGCCACCAGGGCTCCTTGAAAACAGAACCCCCAGATGGAAATGATGAAAAGTTGACACATTTTGTAAAATGTTACCGTTGCCACTGGCCAAATGTGTGTAGAAATTGTTAACTGAGAATCTAATTTGTTGGGTGAACTTTCATCAAAAGCTCATTCATTTTCTTTTAAGGTACAACACACAGTCAAGTCTCTCCTGGGAATGCCAGGTTGTTTAGCATTTGAAAATGAAGCGACATAATTCACCATATCAATAAACTAATGCACATGAACTGTGATCGCAAAACAATGATATTACACCAACAGTGACAGCCTGATATTTAAAAAAGAAAAAAGAACACCAGAAACAAATGCTGGAGAGAGTATGGAGAGATCCGGATTCTTGTACATGGCTCGGGGGTCTGTAAACATATAGAACCACCGTGAAAAATGACATGCTGTGACCTGAATTAAGTGGGAACACAAATCCTATATGATCCAGCCATACCGCTACTAGCTATATGCCCTAAAGAAGTAATCGAGATCCCAAACAACATGTTGCAGTTGTTAAATCTTCTCCACAAGAGTTCTTCAAAGTGTTGAAAAGCAAGGCTGTTGCTTTGAGGACGAAGGTGCCCCCGCCCCAAGCCATGGTCTTTCCCATGGCGCCGTATGCATGTGGGAGGTGGGCCCTGAATAAAAAGACCGAAACAGAACCGCTGCGTTAGAATTCTTGTGCTGGAGAAGATTAGTGAAAGTGCGCGGGCTGCCACAAGAATAACAACAGCAGCAAATCTGTTGTGGAAGAAGTGCCGTCACGGAGGCAAGAATGGCAAAACGCCATCTCTTTTTCTTTCGACCTGTTGTCAGGAGAGACCAGTCCCAGGAGAAGGACATCATGCCGGATAAAGCGGAGGGGCAGCCAAAGAGAGGAAGACCTTCCAGGAGATGGCTGGACACCGTGTCTGCAACAATGGGCACCAGCATGGGGACCACTGTGAGCAGGGTGGAGAGGAGGGGGCAGTGTGTCCTGCTGTTGTGTCCAGGGTCACTGTGGATGGGAACTGACTCTCTGGTGCCTAACAACACCAGAGGCCGAAGCACCACGCATTTCTCCACTCACGCCAAATGATGCTTGTAGCTGAGCCTAGTTGTCATTTTTATCTGTTCGTTAGTGTGCCTGGCTGCTAGCCGACGGGTTTACAGTGCAAGTCCACCTGGCAACGTCTCAGAAGAAAATCCTTGTGATCTACTTGCCTTTGAAAAACCAGCCCAGCACAGTTCCACTTCGAAACGCCCGGGGCCGCCAGGAGGAGCTGGGGTCAGCTGGACAGCCACAGGTGGTGGCGATTTTAAAATGTGCTCCACTAGCTAATAAGCCTTGTTTTGTACCTTAATGCCCGTTGAAAAAACATAACTTCCTTGAATATTTGGTGTGGTTGTATATTTTCTATATGAACTGCTAAATGTTCCTATGGACACTTCATTTGGATCTCATTAAATGTGTAGCTGAATTTAGGGATAACTTTGACTTTTGTGACGTTGAAACATCGTATCCAATAATGTGATGTGACTTGTCCTTTCTTTTTTCTTTTTCCCCCTCTTGAGTCGTTGTCGAGCTTTTTCACATAGACCATCGCACAAGTCTTGTGGGTTTTAGTTCTTATACGTATAACACGTTATGCAGTCACTGCTTTTCTGAGTAGGCCCTTTGTCACCATTATTGTGTGTATACAAGGATAGGGATTTCTTCATATGGTTTTGTATGCGCCAATCTTACTGATTCTTGTTTTAGTTTTTTAAGAGATATCTTCTGTTGTCTAGAAATATAATTGTCTAATGATATTTTAATTCCTTCCCAACTTTTAAATATCTAATTTCATTCTTTTTATGTCTGTTTGCACTGCTCAGTAATTCAAGAAAATACTGTTAATAGTTTTATTTCTGATTTTAATAGAAGTAATTTGTTTCCAGATTTATCTATGAAGTTAAAATAGCATTTTTATTATAAAAAATGAAACTTTTGTTTTTCAAAAAATGTTGGACTTTATCAAGTAAGCTTTTTATAATCTATGGAGACCATGAAGGCGCCCTTGTGGGGCTGCTGGGCAAGCACCAAACTGCTAACTGCTGGGTTCCAGGTAGAACTCCGTGCCATCAGTACTGGGCATCGTGTTGGGCAGTAGGCACCACTGTCCATCTCAGCACATGCAGCAGAAGCTGAGTGCTCCTTCATCAATGGCTTCCCCTTCCCTTCCCTCTCCCTCTCCTAATCACCAATAGACTCTGGTCTCTATACCCGTGCCTCTTCTGGGGATTTCCTCTTACAAGGAGCATCTGTTATAGGTCCTTTTGCAACTCATTTCACTCAGCATAATCTTTTCAAGGTTCACCCAGGTTGGATCAGGAGTTCATTTCTTCTTCTGGATAAATACAATTCCATTGTAAGTGCACACCCCACTTCACCCCTTCATCTATCGATAGACATTTCGGTTGCGCCTACCTGCGGGCTATTGTGAAAGGTGCTGCCATAGACATGGGTGTACAAGTATCTGTTTTCCTGCTGAACCATGCTCTTCTGCAGAGGCAGCTGCCCAGTAACTGAACAAGACAGTGCCCCCAGGGGCCAGTTATTTCCAGCTAGCACAGGCCTTTGCATGGGAAGGGCCCCAGAGTAGCATGTTAGCCTAGCAGAGAACAAGTCCTGGCTGCCACACAATCTGAGCGCTATCCCGCCCCTCCTTGTTCTCCAGGAAGCTACTTGCAGGCCTAACTTCTGCAGCATATGCTTCCCAGGGAACCCAACCACAGTCATAAAGCAATCCTCTGTGGGTTCTTCTTCTT